GTGATATGGTATTTATTTGTACAGTCATTGTAATATATTCCCTTTCCCCCTACTTTGAGTCTGGTGTGTTTTGTCTGGAAAAACCCATCTCACATTAGGTTGAGATGTGGGAGGGGGGATGGAGCTAGGGAATTGGATTTTGGGGCTATCTCAAACCATGACAGATGTGGACGAAGAGGAGCAAATACAGTAAAAGGATATGAAAGTGATGGAGGAACTGGAACATTTCTCATGAGGGGGCTGACAGAGCTGCGACTGTTCAGCCTAGAGAACAGTGGACTCAGAAGAATCTTATCCAAGTGTATAAATATGGGATGGGTGAAGTAAAGAGAATGAAACCACACACTTCTGAGTGATGCAGAGTGACAGGATGAAAGACAACAGGTACCAACTGAAATACAGGAAATTCCTCAACACAAAATTTTTCTTCACTTTAGAAGACTTTTTCACGGTGAGGGTTGATGAATGCTGGACTAATTGCCCGGAGAGGCCTTGAAGTGTTCATCGTTAAAGATAGCTAGTCATGGTTGGAGCTGGGCTCTGAGCTGTGTGACAGTGGGAATGTGAAACTGGGCACTTAAGTTAATAGGATTTTCAGTGCAGATGGGCATGATTTTGTCCACTTCTGTGAAGAAGAAAATCCGGTATGTAATTGAACAGGTTTATAAGCTGAATGTAGATTGAACTTACACTATATGTTATTTGCAGCTGGTGTATGGGAATGTTTAAGGATTGCCATATTCTGCTGTCTGACTTTTCATTATATGATTGGGAAAAGTGAGTTTGCATTTTTGCAATTTCCTCAGTCTAAGAAATGTGTCTGATCATTCCCAAGAAGAAAATTGTAAGAATTATTTGTACAGTAAAAAGAGAATCTGAAATGATTATGCTCCTGTGAAAATAAAAGGTAGGAGCCCTGGTAGAAATCAACAAAAACTAGTATGAGTTTCCCAAACGTTGTTTCTTAGACTAAGACATTGCGATGATACATGAAGAATGGGACGGTTATTTGTCTAGTTATTTGCATGAGAACTCTAATTTTCCGTATGAGCAGTTCCATTAGCTATTCTAGAGAGGCTGTGAGATTTTTTTCTTGTGCAAGGTGCAAAGGGAGCAATTCACGCTGGGCTTTTGTTCTTGGAAAATTAATGTTAGGCTTGACACTGTTGATAGATTGTTTGTTTTCAGGAAATTTTCTCTATTCCATGATGCATTTTAAAAGTTTGTTTCAAGACACTTAGCCAAGAACCTTTTTTGCACTTTTGCAAGAAATAGATAGTGGGAGAAGTATCATAAGTAACCATTTTGACAGTCATCACTGAGAAGAGAGCATTAAAAATACAGTCTCATTTAATTTATTGTCAGAGCTATGATAGTATTTAGCAATCCCTGTCCCCTGTGAAGTCATAATTATTCCACTGCAGCAGCCATCCTTTCCTTCTCCCCCTGCCTCTCCTAGAAATATTGGGAAAGGTAATACAGTAATGCCATCTACTACTCCAAATATATGCTGAAGTTGAACAAATATATCTCTCTGTGTTTATCACAGCGACCTCTGTCAGACAAACACAGAGGGCATACTTTAAATCTGTCCCCTTTACACAGCACTCGAGGAGCGACAGAGACTGTACTGACATGGAGGAAAGTGTGTTCCTGTGAAAATCCAGCTTTTAGTTTCTTTTATCCTGTGTTGAATCAAGTTCATGGATTAAGATACATGTGGTTAAAATCCATTTGTAAAGGCTGGATTTGGCTAGAATGATGTATAACAAGATAATGTCCCAGTAAGAATCACTGTGGTGCACTTTTGCTCCCACATTTTAAGGTCTTTGTCATGATGATTATTTCACTAAGTCCTTATACCTGAGTCATTGTCTTCATCTTTTTTCTTCCCATCTAGACCTCTTATCAGTTAGCTCAGATAATATGGTCACTGAGTAAGTCCTCTCACACCTAGGAGAATATCACTAAATTAGTGCTGATTTACATGACTAGTCTTATGATGTAGTCACTATGAAGTAGAGATACCTTTGTTGGCATGAGTGTTTGGCAGAGATAGCTTCCAAAGAATTGGTGAGTCCAGATATGACCCAATCCTTTTCTGGTCCTTTTTTTCCTCAAGCGGACTGTTGCTCTTATGGGTGTCTGGTCAGTGTGCTCTGAAAATGAGTCACTTAGGTCATACTGAGCCATGTGGGGCAAAAGAAACCATTAATGATGCAGTTACTGGTGCTATGACATGCTGAACAAGTCAGGCACAAAATTTGGCCAAAACACTGGAAAAAGATGCTTCGTATCTTACGGGAAAAAAATTTTCCACCAAATTTTTCTTTGTCAGTGTTTGGATTCTTTCAACGTTTCTCCTTCAGCTAAGCAAAGAACTCATTGGTGTTCTCACTATTTATGGTTTGATCCATGTATGTTTTGGTCAGCAGAATTAACATCTAACAAAAATGTGCTGTGGTTAACAAAACATGTTACTTGAATATGTAAAAGAGAAAGCGTTGCACATATGCAATTGCCTTTTAGTGATTCTTATTTTCAATGTGCGTTAGAAATTAATTTTGGTGGAAGTGTATCACAGTTGCTGGTAGCTATCTGATTTATGCATATGTTGCCTTGCCAGTGCAGCATCAAGCTGAAAAGAGAGTGTTTCTTTGGTCAGTATTTCATTTTCATGAAGGCTAACATTAGCATTAGCCTATTAGTAGGATTATAAAACTTGAAACACACATGTTAATAAATCTCCTCCAATTACCAAGTTGTAAAAAGCAGTTTACTGCTAATTTCAGTGCAGTGGCTCACTCACTGATTGGAGAATCCATCCTTCTTTGTAAATAGAGCAGAGATTGCCTAAGGCTGGGTCCACCTGCAGAGGGAGAGATTGTCCAAGTGAAATGGCCTGATGGAAAAGTGTATGATGTGAAGTATCTGGGAACAAACACAACTTATATGTATCAGGTAAGTATCTATATTTATTGCCATATGCTTGCTTTTCAGATGTCTTTATTGTAAATGGCTCATTTGGCTCTAGCATTGGAGCGGCCAGCCACACCTTCAAAGATGCAGAGGGCTGAAGTTTGAACTCTTATTGTAACTCTTAATGCATTTAAATTAACATTTAAAACTGTCTAAGCCAGTAGCAAATGCTGTGCACTCTTTGGGAGTTGAAGTTTCACTTGTTGTTACAAAATCAATAAAATTGTTTAATAAGAAATCAGGTGAACAGGCGGAACATTACAATTGATACACTATATTTATTATTTTCTGCAGGTTATTTACTTTTATTGTATGTCGGGTAATTGTATGATTAATGATATAAAATTAAATATTGGTATGTGCCTACAATGAACCATTTCATAAGAGGATGGAAGAGAGGACAGTAAAAAGAAGAGCATAAATAGGCCCACTTTCTTTTTTCTGAGGCACTTATGAATTAATTATTCTAAGGAGCATTGTATCCTCAGCAAAGGCAAAAGGGAACTGAACAGTGAAGGCAAGGCTAAAAAGCTGACTTCTGATTTCAGTCACAATAATTGGTTTTTTTATGTGCTTGCCTTTGAGAAAAATCAGTCAGCAGCTTTGAGTACCCAGGTGAATGGTAGAAACTGCAGTAAAACAATCACAATAATAATAGCACTTCTGAAAGAATGAGAATCTAGATACATTTCATTTATATATATATATAATAATTTTCACTTATGTAACTCCTTTCATCAAAGGGCCTCACATTACTGTACCAAAATGGCACATTTACTCTTATGTCTGTAGATAAATTAAAGCACAGGGAAGCTAAATGACTTGCTGCATTGACCTTCTCACTTTCCCAGTGACTTGCAATTGAACTTGAGTCCTCAAATGCCTAATCCCTTGAGGGGATCTGAATCTTAGCTCTTCCCTTGTATTTTGCAGCTGTGTTATATTGTGAAGGTGGAAAGTTCTTTATAAAGGATGAATATTATTGTTCTATAGTAACATTAATCTTCAAATAATTTAGTGTTATGAACAGCTGGTCTTTGAGGAATACTGTGAGGTAGATTAGATGAATGTTGTTATCTTTCATATTTGAAGGAATATGACATAAACAACTTTGTCTTATTTTAGACCTCTTGAACAACATGATGAAATCAATTTTGTTTAAAGAAAATGGATAAGCATTTGGAGGTTCAGCAAGATTTAGAGTTCCTCAGTATAACAGACATGTGGGAGATTACTGTAAATTGCCTTGTAACAACCTCTGTCATGGGGGGGAAATGACAAAGTTTAAAGGTTAGAGGCAGTCCAGGTTGCAACACGTAGGACTGTGGAGACAGTCAGGCATTTCAGTCTTCAGGATGCATAGGAGGCTGCCACGTGGCCACAGGTTACAGAAAGTCTATGACGTGGCGGGTGCAAGGTTAACTTCAAGACATATTAATTGTTCTTCCTATGGTCTTTCTGCAGTCTGTCTGAAAGCTCCCAGGGCCCATGCATACTCCAGTTTTCTTCTGGTGTGATCTCTGTTGCAGACTCTTACTGAGCCTTTTGAGTGATCTCTTAGATCTAATAAGGCAAACCTGGATAAATCTGTGAATTTTCCTTCTGTTTGTGAAACATTTGTACTAAATGTGCCGATACTTGAACATGCAGGAGTTATGACACAATGCACTACAATTTGTGTCATCCAGTTTGACATTTGCCAGCCTTTGACATCTACACAATCCCTAAGCAGGTGTTCAACTGAAATTGTTAATATGTTCTAAATTGATTTTGTGATCATTTCTGATATTGAGGTTCACTAATAAGGTTTGAGTTTCATTTGAGATTATTAAATTATCCATTCACTCTATTAATTGCTTTCTAACAGTTTCAACTCTCCTTGTAATCTGTGATGGTCTAATAAAATGAAATCTCACTGAGAGAGTAACATACTACACAGGCACAGTACAGCAGCAAAAGTCTAAATAAAATAACTTGCTTGATAAAATTGATGATTTGAAATGTAGGATCTGCAACTGAATTAAATTGAAGCTATTAGAGATGGTGGGTTTATAGTTTGCATGAATCATGATACTACTGAAAGTCTTAGAAACTCTTGTTGTGTTTGCTGTCAAGGGCAGGCAAGTTATATCCAGTGTGATATGCTGAATTAAAGCTGAAGAACTTCCAGTTACTCTTCATTGTAAATGTGCAATATATTTCATAGTGGAAGCATGACAGATTCTCTGGTATGAAGCAGTTTCATCCTACTGCATACTACAAGTGAAAACAAATGCATTGACCATTCAGGAGTGGATTTTATGATCACATGGAGTGGCAGAGTTCATTTCCTACCCAGTTCTTCCACTAGTGATGCAAAAATCATTATTACCAACTGTATTATGCGAAAATGTACTACCAAATGTATTGTGCAGGAAAGGAGCGGGAATAGCAGAAAGACTGTTCTTGCATCCTGGTGAAAAATATCTAATCTGTCATCATTTTATTAAACAAGCTTAAGGCAAATTGACTGTTAATTTCCTATAACATACTGCTGACAGACTAGGCCTGTGAGGTTAGTAACAGAAACAGAGAAGAGCAAGGATGATTTCTGTGACTTTGTTATCCGTGTCCTTTGTGCATTTTAAATGCATACCAGATTTGTGCATCCCTGTTAGTTGCAGTGAAAGAAATTGCTTTTAAAGAAGCTAATAGATCATGGTGTGTATCCTGGTTTTTGAGAATGGATATATTATATCTGATTTTTCAGCTGTTCACGATTAATCTGACATATCCAGTCATGGCAAGCTTTTAATTTTAAACTACAAAGCCAGTCCATTTACAAGATCAAATGCATGATTTTTCAGTTTTATCTGTAGTAATACTTTTTATAAGTCATTGTTCTCTTATGTTTGTATTTGGACTTATTTTTCTAGTCAAGTGTTCTATTGACATTCAGATGGTCTCATAAAGTCAAGGAAGGATGTGGAATGGGACTTCTTCTAATTTTATACCAAACTTTAAAGTACAGTTTCTGTAGGAGCTAAAACTGCAGTCACAGATAATAGCTGAAATTCACAATTGTTACATTAAGTATTAAAATAGAAAAAAAAATCAGCAGCTACTGAAAAAGCTTAAATGCTTCAAAGTCTCAGCATTTTAACATTCCCCACACCTAGTTACATTTCCTTTCTCATTTTCTGCTAACAGGGTTCATATTGGATTAAATCTAAACCTAAGCATGATAAAGCTTTTCGTCTTCTGAACAGAGCATTTAGAAGAAATTCCATCAGATTCAATAAAATTCTGTTAACTGGTATTTCCTTAGTTGTCACTCACACTTTCTTTTGACGTGGTCTTCCTCAACCTTGAATCACAGGATGTTAAAATTGATTTTTTATATATTAGAAGCAAGTAAAAAATTAGAGACAAAAGGAACACAAAGACATTTTAGTATGTAACTCCTGCCTGTCTTGTTACTGTTCAGCATTCCTAGCCTTAACAAATTTTACTTTATTGCATCTGTGTCAGTGCTGATTTTGAAGACTCTTTGCTTAGATATTAATTTCAATTTAAGAATGTGTTGCATTTCCCAAGAAATAACATTTTTTAATGTTTTAACCTAATTTTGCTGCCCTAAAATAGATAGTAAAATATTTTTATATACATCTTTTCTGTTTACATATGTATTTTTATGTAAAGACATTTCCAGAAACTTGCTGCAAGATTATGATTTTATTTTTAAATACCCATTTTTTCAATTAGGTTGAGTTTGAAGATGGTTCTCAAATAGTAATGAAGAGAGAAGAAATATATACACTAGATGAAGAGCTTCCTAAGAGAGTAAAAGCACGTCTTGTGAGTATTTGCTGATAATAACTTTATAATATATATATGCTTTAAATGCCAATAACACTATCCTTGGCTTTATTTTGGATTTTCAGTTTAAGCTGGACAAGTGTTTTGTGAGCCTATACTAATAAGAGTGGCTAAATCAGTGCAATTTGCTAGTGAGAATGGTTAGTTGTTCTTCCAGTACAGGCAAATGCGGTCGTCAAACATAGTTCTTTTCTCCTAAGAGGGACATCATGTTTGATCATCTGTCAGATCATGAATGATCAAGTTAGTAAACATTCGAATTGACAGACATTCTGTTCTTTCAGTATGCTTATAGCATGTATAATTTTTAAAAAAACTTTCCAGCTTCTCAGACCTTTGTGATTTTAAAAGCCTTGAATTTAATAAAAATACACTTAACTTCATGTAAGAAACAATGTGACTGATCAGAACTCATTATTGCCACTGGCAGGACTCACTTGCCGGACTCACTGGCAGATATTTTACTAGTCTTTGGTTTAAAACCAAATCTTTGCTACTTTTTTAAGTTTCCTGCAGTTTCAAACAACATCCACCATTTTTATGTATGTATGTAATTTTTATGTATGTATGTCATGTGAGAAAGTGTTGGGGTTCACGAAGAGCATGACACTTAAAGCTTGAAAAGGGAAAGTTCTTCCATACACTTATTAGAGGAGTTGACTGCTTTTACCTGTCTTAGGGCACTGCTTTCTAATGCAAAATGCAGTGGTCAGATATTCTTGATTAAAAAACCTTTTTGTTGATGAATTTGGGATAAGTGCAGAAATCTTTCAGTGTTCTGACTGTCTAGGGTTAAGATAGATGTCTTGGAAAATGTTAAATGAACCATCTGGTTATATTTAATGGGTTTTTTCATTACACTCAGAAAGCATACCATTGCCATTTTTTTGTTTTAGAGACTACATGGAAGAACCATCTCTAATTAACTGCATGCTCTGTAGAATGCAAATTGTTGCATTTCATTCAGGATAATAATAATTGGGTTTAAGCTATTGGTTTTTAAATGTATTTTTACAACTCAATATTTCTTTCTTTCTTTTTTATTTGACACCATTAACTTCATTGGTTAGCTATAGCTTAAAAACATTAAATTTGGTCAACTGAATAAAACACACTACAGCCAGTGCATGATTTTCTTTGCATGATTTTCTGCTAGTGCATTTTCTGTTTTTCTGCTAGTGATTTTCTACTACTTTGCACAATTTTCTACTAGTGCCTCCAATTCTAGAAATATGTAGGTTAGTCCTACAAATATGCCCAACACCTCCTTCCCCTCTTCATGCTGAACATAGTGGAAGTTAAACACAACTTATGATACTGTTTCTGTCTATTGAAAGAAATTATGCCAGTTCCTTCTAAGTGATGCTTTTCTTAGTCTTCGGAATTTTTCCATTACTCCAGCAGTGAAAGTTGGTCCAAAATATTCTGCCTTTGGTTTTTGCCAAGTGGCTTGCTGTTTGTTGCCCCACTGCTGTGTTAGTGTGGATTCCCAACTGTTTTAAGTTTGCTGACAAATAACCAAATGGTAACTCTGATTCTTTGCAAGTTAGGCAGTGTGCAGGTCTCTTTTCAGGGGTCCATGCCATTGTACCTTGCATTTAAAACATTTCTGAATCACACAAAGTGGTGAATAATACTTGATACCGCTAGGATCACACCTGCCCAACAGTTGCATTGCTTCTGTGTTGCATTGCTTCTGGTTTTTTTTTCACCTAGAATTAGAAGGATTGTGTGGTTTCTAGATAAAAACCAAAACTACCAACTGGTGTTAGTGACATGTTTCTAAGGAACACTATAGACTTAGAGAATTAAATAAGGAATGGTACATCCAAAATACGGAAAAGTTAAAATTGTATTTATATGTATGTGTAATTAGTGTCTGGTTTTAGTCTACAGCCTCTGACATGAGATTTGAAGACACATTTTATGGATCAGATATTATCTTGGGAGAGAAGAAGAGGCAGAGAGTATTGAGTTCTCGCTTCCAGAATGAATATGTGGATGATCCAGGATACCGCACATTCTTAAAAAGCTCATTCCAGAAGAAATGCCAGAAGGGGCTATAAAGGCAGCAGATGAAGAGAGAGGGATGTTGATTGAAAAGCATGCAGCATTATTTGCAATTGGTTTTTGTTTAATTGAACACTCTGTTTTCCATTCAACTAATCTATACACTGTCCTCATAAACTGAAGTACTTGAGTTCTGATTTCTTCAGTTAATGTATTAAAGATTTTGTAATGTTTTGCATTATAGAACTAGGGGGAAAACCAAGAGAGATTACGAAAGGATGTACTGAAGAAAAGTTTCAGTCCTACTGTCCTAGGTTTTTTGCAGAGGGATGGAGCCTAGAGCTGTGAGGGCGTGGCTAAATTGCTGTTTTGTACCACCCACTTCAACGGTGGGGGGTGCGACAGGGGGAAGAACAAAAGGCACATGGGAAGTACGCTGTATTCATTATGTTTCTTCCCTGGGGAAGCTACTGGTGCCAGCACTGTGGACTCTGAAAAGCAGTGAACACAGCCAAGATGTGGCTCCAAAAAAACTGCGCTTGCAGCTGAGATGCAATTCCAAAGAGGTGGCACCACGCAGATTTGAACCTGCAGAGCAGAGCAGTCTGGAAGCGGCCAGTGTGGCACAGCAGAGACAATCTGGCTTTTATCATAGTTTTTTGTTTTCTTGGGCTCAGGGATGGGGAATGCTGGCTGTGGAGAGTATCCACCACCTTGTCTTTCTCCCAGGAGGCTATGTGGTGCTACCTATGGAGAGCGTCCACCACCTGGCCTTTGTCTTGGCGGCCTCGTGGAACTAAGTCAAGGTAGTGAACACCTCTCATGTGTAAAGCACCTTTTCTGTACTTTTGTCATTAATATTTTTCTGTTACTGCATGTTTCTTATTGCACTGCTGTTTGTTTTCAGTAAATTGTTACCTCAGCCCATAGTCTCTGCCTTTGTCCCTCTCTCACCTGAGGGTGGTGAGGGCAAGAAGAGCACCTTATTTGGAGTTCAATTACCAGCTTGTTTTTTAAACTACCACACCTGCTCACATTGAAATAAGTGGTAAAATTCCCTTTGAATTATAAGAAGAGATTCACATTCTGAAAAGGAGACATTTTAGTAAACAGAGATAATGTCAGTGGCTCATTTTTTTCTGCACCTAAGTTCAATAATAACAGTTTTTATAAAACATTTTTAAAACAAATACAGATATATTCAGTACTGAGACAAACAAAGGCTGTGCTTACTTTGTACAGTGCTTTTACACATATATGTCACTACTGTTTTCAGTAGGGTTTGATAGGGACTCAGCTATTTTTGGCTTTTAGGAAAGAGATCTGCAGCACAGCAAGGATGTTTTGTATATTTAAAGAGAGATTTTGGCAGTTATTTTTGAATATGTTTTTCATAGGGTCTATTAATAATAGCTATTTGTTAAATACAAATTTCTTTCACTATGTGTATGAAAAATTGGAGTTCAAATATAACAGCCTAATTTTGACTGAATATATTATGGTCTATCTTTTAAAATAAAGTTCTTGCAACATAATCATGTTTTAAAACAAATAAATAAATAAATGAATGAATAAATAAATGACTGTCCTTTTACTTGCAACATTTTGTCTGTTGATGTGATTTTCAATCCTATTATTTTATTCCTATAGGAATCAAGAAACTTCTTTATATACTGTATTTTCCTGAACACAACAGATGATACACACAGTCACATAGCTTGATGTTAAAATGCAAACTTGATAAATACTGTACTTTCATTTCTTATTTTTTTATTTCCCTTCAGTCTTTGGGATCCTGACCTTTTTGGATGTTTCATGGAAAGCAGAAAGTCTGAATTTGTCTGAACACTTGGGTATGTGAAGCTAGAGGAGAGCTTTATCAAAATGACATCATCTGTTCCTTGTAAATTGGACAGTCAGCAGGATTTCTGACTGTCTGCCACAGAAAAAAGAGCCCTCTCAAAATCCAATTTAAATTGAGCACTGCTGTTTCTAGGGTTCTACTTGCAAAAAAACTTGACTATATGGACCCAAAGATTTTGTCATTACAAACCCAGTCTTCTACATGCTGAGGCACACATATCTTTGTCTCACTGGAGCCTTTGCATGACTATTCTTATTTTTTTGAGTGGACAATGAAATCTTTTCAATTACTATGTGACACCTCAATTGATAACATAAGTTTTCTTAAGTGTTATATTGTCTATCTTTTCTTGTATCATGAAATCACTCAGAATCCCTTTAGTCTAAGAAATTGCTTAGCTGTGACAATTGGAATGTATATCTAATTGACAGCTCTTTCTCTAAAGGCAATGGGTTGTGGTGGGTGCTGTCAGACATATTTCAGAACATCAAGGCTCTTTCTGGTCTTGTAAATAAAAAATGAAACTAATGATAGATTTGCAAAATGCAAGATTGGTGCTGCCTTCTGCAATTACATGCAGCTGATAACCTAATGTTAATGTGTGGGCAGGTTTTGGAAGCAGGAGGCTATGGGGTGGCTTCTGTGAGAAGCTGCCAGAAGCTTCCCCCATGTCCGACAGACCCAATGCCAGCTGGCTCCGTGGTAGATCCACTACTGGTCAAGGCTGAGCCTACCGGTGACTGTGGTAGCACCTCTGGGATAACATATTTAAGAAGGAAAAGTTTGGGGCAGATGTAATTGCACTCAGAGAAGAGCAAAGGGAGAACATGTGAGAGGAACAATGCAGACACCAAGGTCAATGGAGAAGGAGGGGCAGGAGGTGCTCCAGGCGCTGGAGCAGAGATTCCCCTGCAGCCCGTGGTGAAGACCGTGGTGAGGCAGCTGTGCCCCTGCAGCCCATGGAATTCAGTGGGAGAGCAGATATCCACTTGCAGGCTGTGAAGGAGACCCACCCAGAGCAGGTGGATACTTGAGATAGGGCTGTGAGCCTATGGGAAACCCGTGCTGGGGCAGGCACATGACAGGGACCTGCAGACCTGTGGAGAGAGGAATCCACACTAGAGCAGGTTACCTACTAGGACTTGTAACCCTGTGGGGTCCCATGTTGGAGCGGGCTGTGCCTGAAAGTCTGTACCCTGTGGAAAAGTGACTCACATTGGAGCAGTCCATGGAGAACTGTTTCTTCCCCCAAGCGGTGGCAGGAACAAGTGATGAACTGACAGTAACCCCCATTCCCAATCTCCCTGCACTGCTGTGAGGGAGGAGATAGAGCCCAGAAAGGAGAGAGGGATGTGGGGAAGATGTTTTTAAGTTTTTATTTTACTTCTCATTATCCTGCTCTGTTTTTGTTAGTAATAAATTCAATTAATATCCCCGAGTTGAGTGTGTTTTGCCTGTGACAATATTCGCTGAGTGATCTCTCTTTGTCCTTATCTCAACTCATGAACTTTTCCTTATATTCTCTCTCCCCTGTCCACTTGTGGAGGGGAGTGATAGAGCAGCTTTGATGGGTGCCTGGCATCCAGCCAGGATGAACCCATTGCAGCTAATTACTGATGCTTAGTATCAAAATACTGTGTTCTATGGTAAGAATGCTTTTATGGTCTTCCATGAAGGTTCAGAACAACTATGACATATAGGAATGCTTTGTAGTTGAATAGGTGATGCTATGCAATGCTATAGAGGCAAATGTCTGTTCTTTGCCTGGATCTGATATGACCTGTTATGACTCCATGAATAAACTCCCTTATTTCTGTAAAATGGATCCAATATCCTCTTCTTCAAGATCCTTGAAATTTGCTGATTAAAGAGCTGCAATTTTATTTTAAAACATTCATGCAAAAAGTTGGCTTGTTTCCCCTTCTACCTTTCAGCAAAAAGATCTTTACTTTGGAAGTTCTGAATGGCACTTGAATGATTTCTGACCTTTGTAAGGTGCTATCAAATACCTGTTATGTAAGTGTAAAAAGTGTAGTCATTGTCATGATTACAGTTTCATGCCTCCCATCTCAAGACCTTATGGCCCTTGCAAACTGGATTGGCTAAACAACTGGCCTAGGAGGACATTTCCTGTTCCCTTACAATTCCTGAAAAGCCACATTTTTCTGTTCCATGACAGAAATTGTTATGAACCTTTCAGGTATGTGAGAGAATATGTTGGTGTGCAATGTTCTGGGAAACCAGGAGCTTGCCATGAGCAGAATCAGGTAGGTGGACACCAAAACACGGTTGGTTGTTGCCCACATAACCAGTTCTCAGTCACCAGTTTCTCCCTCCAGTAAAACCTCTGCATGTTATTTTTCTCCTGATGTTAGAGACAGATATATCTTTTCCGGTGAAAAAGCATGTCAGCATTCATGACCATTTCACTTACAGTGTCTGTGTGAGGAAGAGTGATTTATGTAGGAATAGTGAAGCCCCTTTAAAGACTGGCTAGCTGAATCAGCAGTGGTATTCCTAGGATTAAAAAAAAAAAAAAAAAAACAAACAAAAAACCAAACAAATCAAAATTGAATGTCCATAAGAAGAGAGCACAGGATACCACAGGACAGGAAGAACCATGCTCTTTCTATTACCTTATACATACAAGAGCAAAGTAACTGTTCTGTATATTCAAAAATTCTGAGGGCTGAGGGTGAGCACACTCATGTGTGCACACACAAAGTAATGGTTTGTTCAGGATACATTAAAATTATTTTTTTCACTCTCATCTGAAAATAGCAAGGAAGAATCTGAAGTACTTCAGTTTATGCTGGCTTGTGAAGTAGAATGCTTTAATGCTATGACTTGGATTTCCACAGCTATAACTGAGGTCTGATAAAATCAAACTACTAGAATTAGATAAAAATTAGATTACTTCTCTTGAATCCTATTTGCTATTGTATTACTGTAGCAAAGCAATTTTGTTGATGCTTAATAGGAGTTCTACAATATATTGTGTTGTGCTGTGGTGGTTAAAATTTTTCAATTAAAGAGAGTAATAGAAAAATTCCTACAAAACATTTTTGCTTTGAAGCTTGTTTATACTTTCCAACTGTGATGTAAGTTAACAGCAATTTTTTTATAACAGGGAATTTAATATTAATTTAATATGATATTTATAAGCAAAATGTAGCGAAGTAAAAGAAATCCCTATTTATGTGGTTCTACTTTTTCTGCTTTTGTGAGATGTTCTCCAGTTTAGAAGACATTATAGGAAAAAATGACTGATAAGGTAAATCCTGTTTGAATGATCATCTGTCTAAATAACAAATACTTGTATTTCCTACCTGTGCTGCTCAATTTATCCATCTTTGTTTAGTGGCACAATTGCAAATGTTAACTTTGATAACAGATGAAGATAAAATGATAATTTCACTTACTGGAATGAAATGCTGCTTTCTCCCCAGTCTCTAAATTTTGTAGTGGTATTTCTGTTTCGTGTTATCCGACTGAAGTATTGGATGCCAATGTTCAACAGCATATTGGCAGGATGGAAAGCTTTTGTAGGGTGGGCAAGAGGAATCTTTCCTGCACATATGCACAAAAGGCGTATCCCATCTCTTTTAAAAATTGTTTAACCATCTGATAAATTTATCAGACACCTTCACATTTCAAAAACCATCTCTGAGGCTTCTAGTCTTGAATTCCAAGTGCCTTAGACAGCATTTTTCTCTGACATATCTAGCAAAAAGAAAATTATTGTGTTATGGTAGGGCATAAAAGTTTTACTGGAGTTCATCTTAGCTGTTGTATATACAGTCTATTGGTTATAGCTTCACTGTTACTACAGACTGAACTGTCCTACAGCCATGCTGCTGAAGCTCTTACTCTCGATACCTTAATGGATTTCCCCTATATCCGGATTTGTAGGCAGAGCTGGTAGCTGCCAAAACTTTTGTAAGAGACGGTTTTGAGTTACTAGAAACGCTGGTAATTTAGATATCCTACAGCTAAAATTTTTATGTGTTGGTTTGTGTCTGAAAAAGTCTGGAAACTCTGCTTCAAGCAGTTTGGTCTTTTGGAAGGATTTGGAAGAGGAGAATTAAGGAAAAAAAAAAATCATCCTTCTTTCTATCCCAAAGTTACCCAGGCATTTATTTGACAACCTTCGTCGTTCCTTTATACAGTGAAACAGGGACATTCTGGTGGATGAGGCAAAGACTGATTCCCATTAGATTTTAGAAATAGGTTTGTGAAGTGTTTCTGTAGATGTGCTATCATTTGACTGAGCTATCATAAGCTGTATGGTCTGAAATAAAGTTTTGGAAGAACCTGTACCCCTTCTGCAGTGATGGAATGGACAGTGCATGCATTGTCAGCATAGTCATCTCAGCACTGACCTTGCCAGGCTTGCAATCTGGGAGAGCCTTTTGTCCTTTTCTTTTTCCCCTAGTTACTTAAATGGAACACAGAGGCAGCCTCTCCTTTGTTCTCAATGGCCTGCTAATGATGCTGCTGCTGTAATATAGAAAAACAGGAAGGAAAAACCCCCACGAACAACAAAAATAAAGAAGCACAAACTACTTCAGTACTGAAGTGTAAAGGGTTCAAGGCAGATAGGAAGAATTCATGGAGCTGGAAGGAGAAGAAATAGGGGGACCAGATTCTGAAAAAGAGATTTGTTCACAGTCCTGTGCAGAACCCAGGATGCCTGAGGC